GCTACCGCTTGAGCCACATCCCCAGCCCTATTTTCTTTTTTTTTTTAATTTATCTTTTGTTGTATGGAAGTCCTTAGCCCTTATGAAGATGGGTATATTGTTCTTGTCCTTTTACTAAAGATTTTAGATTTTCTGTCCTTTGTTGGAAGGTCTTCCTTAAAATTAGGAAATAGTCTGTATTTTCTTTTAATAATTGCTTAAAATTTATTTTAGTTTTGTATGATTATTTAATATATCTGCATTTATTTTATAGTGCGAGATAACAATCTAAATCTATGTTCTTTTCAACATGGAAATTTTCCCCAAACCATTTACTTAAAAGGCTATCCTTTCCACACTAATTTAAAATAGAGTAGGGGCTGGGGCTGGGACTGAGTGGCAAAGTGCTTGCCTAGCATGTGTGAGGCACTGGGTTCGATCCTCAGCACCACATACGAATAAACAAATAAAATAAAGGCATTCTGTCCATCTACAACTGCAAAAAAAAATTAAATAAAATAGAGTATAAACTTTTTTTTTAATCTTTATTTGTTTATTGTTATGTGGTGCTGAGTATCAAATCCAGCACCTCACACGTTCCCAGTCCTTTTTAAAAAAATTTTTTATTTTGAGACAGGGTCTCGCTAAGGCCAGCCTCAGACTTGCGATCCTCCTGTCTCAGTCTCCAGAGTCACTGGGATTACAAGCATGAGCCACTGTGCCCAGCGGGTGTGAATCTTTTAATGAATTTTGGCACCTAGTGGGAGTTGCTCTCTTAAAAAGGACAGGTTAGTTTATACACAATGACATGGGCAGTGTGGGTCTGCCTGTGTCACTACGATCTCGTGAGGTAGTAGTATGATGGTTGAGTTGATTTTAAACTAATTTCAGCTAATTTGTGCTTATATTGATAGGCAGCCCTTTTCATTTCTCAAAGATATAAATGGCATTGTGTACAGAGTACTTTATTGAATGAGATTACTGCCCAAACTCCTGGTCTTGTAGGAAGCTTTAGGAACAAACAGAAGTCTGAAGATAGCTCCTGCCCTCTGCTTCTTTTTCCCCATCTGCTCTCCTGTGCCTCTCCCAGGATCTTCTGCGGGAGAGCTGATCCTCATCACAGCGAGAGTGACCACAGAGAGGACTCCAGGAACCTGTCTATATTTTAGCACTGTTCCAGGAATCCTGCCCTCCAGCCAGCCACCCATATCCTGCTCAGAAGAGGGAGCAGGAAATTCCACCCTGAGTCCTAAGATGGGTGAGGAGTGTGTCAGAGTCTGGAGCCACGAGGGCCTTGTGCTCACCAAGCTGCTCACCTCAGTAAGTGCCTCAGGTCCATCCTCAGGATTTTGTAGGATGGTGGGTTGCTGTGTCTTCGAGGTTCCAGAAGGCAATTTTACCTAGTAGAAAAAGTACAGGCTTTATAACCCTGCCTTAGAGGCTGTGTGACTTAGGTAAGTATCTGAACCTCTTTGAGTCTGAGCTTCCCATCTGTAAAACAAAACCATATACTATATCTTCATTCTATCAAACAAGGATCGAATGAGAATGACAGCAAAGTGCTCAGCACAGTGCCCCATACGTAATAGAGATTTGATAAAGGACAATTATTTACTGTTGTCTTTAATAAGATAAAACATGATCTCTATCTCAGAGGAATTCAGAAGCTGTAATAAGAGGCAGAAGGGGCTAATTGCTATCATAGAAATGTGAGCAGAGTATTATTCAAATACCAAGTATACAGCAATTTAACTTGAACATTTACTAAGAGCACTTCCCAGGGAAGGTGGCACTTACGAAAGACAACTGTGTATAGTTGTTTATAATATACAAAGTTTATAATGTACAGAATGCTTTCAGGTTCATTATCTCATTTAATCTTAAAACAGCCTTTTGAGGTAGGTGTCATTATCCCATTTTACAGATGAGGAAACAGGTTTAAAGAGAGGGAGTGAATTGCCGAAGGCCACATAACTAGTTAAGTAGCAGAGCCAGGATTGCAATCCATGTGTTGTGTACCATCAGGACCTCTGAAGAATGAAGGTTTAGGGGCTGGGGATGTGGCTCAAGCGGTAGCGCACTCACCTGGCATGCGTGCGGCCTGGGTTCGATCCTCAGCACCACATACCAACAAAGATGTTGTGCCCGCCGAAAACTAAAAAATAAATATTAAAAAAAAAAAAAAAAAAAAATAAAAAAAAAAAAAAAAAAAAGAATGAAGGTTTGGCTGGGGGCCTGTAATCACAACCACTCAGGAGGCTGAGGCAAAAGGATCATAACTTCGAGGCCAGCCTCAGCAACTTAGCAAGCCCTTGTCTCAAAATAAAAAAATAAAAAGGGCTGGGGATGTAGTTCAGTGGTAAAGCAACCCTGAGTTCAATCCCCAGGACCAAAAAAAAAAAAGAAGAATGAAGGTTTGGACAGAGAATACAGTAGAGTTCCAGAGAGAGAAGGTACAGGAGCACAGTGTTCCAAGGGATCAAAAAGTGGTCCGTTTTCTGAGGGGCTCCAAAATGAGGGGCTTAGGTGACTTAGAAGAGGCAGGAGAGACCACAGTGGCTGATGGGGCTGTGAAAGCCAGGCTGGGATGCTACACCTAGCATCATAAAGGCCAGTAAAGGCTCTGAAGGAGAGAGAAGCCCACACTAATGCTGGGTAGAAGAAACTGGCTGAGAGATGGAGGGAGACAGTTTAGATGGCTGCAGTACCCTCTGCTGTCACATTTAAAGAGACCCTGGGCGGAGCAGAATCTGGCACTGCTTGCAATCTTTCAAATGTAGATTATTTGTGAATTTCCCTATCTCTAGGAGTCATTTTGAGAGTTAAGGTTGGTGGCTAGGCAAGAAATTAGTTTGTAAACCATCCAAGACAAATGTTAACTTGCATCAAAGTAATGTCTTCTCTCTAACTGCTCCCTCCCTGGGTGCTGAGAGGCCTCCCCCTCTTGGGGGCTTCTCTCCACAGCTCTTGGGCTGGGGTCAAGATGTCTTCCAAAGGGACAAGTTCCCACCGTCCCCTCTCCATCATTTCTCCTTCCCACTTTGCTCCCTCCCCTAGGAAGAGCTGGCTCTGTGTGGCTCCAGGCTGCTGGTCTTGGGCTTCTTCCTGCTTCTCCTCTGTGGCCTTCTCTGCTGTGTCACTGCTATGTGCTTCCACCCGCGCCGGGAGTCCCACTGGTCTAGAACCCGGCTCTGAGGGCACTGGCCTAGTTCCTGCCTTGTTCTCAGGTGAGGTTCTTTACTCTAGTCCTGTGGGAATATGAGAGGGCTGGGGGTGGCAACTGTAACTGGGGTAGAACAGATCCTTGGAATTTATCCATAAATATTGCTCTGTGTGAGTCCTCAAGAAGCTCCATCTATCCTCATAGGGAATGGGAATCATTTATACCATAAGCATGCAACCTTTTTATTATTTTTCCTTTTTTTTTTTAAATTACAAAATAGTTAACATTCCTGTGGAAAAGTCCAAAAACCTCAAAAGTACAGTGTGGTAAATTATTATAAAGTAGTTACTCTTAAAATACCTGTATCCTAGAAGCCCTTATCCTCTGGTCCCTTCCTTCCTGGTAATGACCTTCTTCTCCCTAGAAGGAAGTACTATTTTGCTTTATAGCTGATCACCAAGTATGCATTCCAACTATGCATGAGATTTGGTTTTATTTATTTTTGAAGATGGAATCATACATATTATTTGGTGACTGATTTCTTTCAAGTGACATTCTGATTTTAAGATTTACCCATGGCTGTAGTTCATATCCATGATTTTTGGCAAAAATGGTGAGTTAAGAGGGTTCATCTTTTATGATTCCTCCTGGATATGCATGATGTTTGCCTTGCTTTTGTCCTGAAATTCTTTTCTTTTGGTGGGGGGCACTACTGAGGATTGAGCTCAGTAGCATTCAACCACTAAGCCACATCCCCAGCCCTATTTTGTATTTTATTTAGAGACAGTATCTCACTGAGCTACTTAGCACCTCGCTTTTGTTGAGGCTGGCTTTGAGAGCTCCTCCTGCCTCAGCCTCCCAACCTGCTGGGATTATAGCTGTGCTCTACTGTTCCTGGCTTGTCCTAAAATTTTTTTAAAAAATATTTATTTATTTTTTTATTTATATGTGGTGCTGAGGATCGAACCCAGTGCTTCATACATGCAAGGCAAGTGCTCTACCACCGAGCTACAGCCCCAGCTCCCGTCCTAAAATTTTAATACAAGTTTAATACAAGTTTTGTAAATTTGATTAGAACATCTTAAAAGAATCTAATTAATGATGCCCATTTACTAGGAACACACATTTTACATGTGCTCTTCCATTTATTCATCATTGCATTTATAAAAGGTTGATTCTACTAACAAGATATTTGGAGGGAATTAGATTTACAAAGATAGCAGGGGGTGGAGGACATATCTGCTAACTAGTTCTCATGTCAACTCATCAAAGGAAAAAAATATTTCTGCAAGAAATCTTCACCCTGTCAGGTCAGTCTCTTAATTTGAGAGCCATATGTTATGCATTCAGCTCTTAAACTGTTCTCAGCTCTAGCTGCAGCTGTGCCTTAGGAAATGACTGTAGGAGGAGTGGAAACAGCCAAGCCAGAGGAACTGGAAGTTCAAGATCAATTTTGCAAATTTTGCTTGGGGCCAACCCTCACTGCTCCAGATACCTACCTGGGACAGGAAGTGATGGAGCCTTCTCAGGCTTGAACTGGGAAAGAAGAGCTTTCTGGCCTGTGGCAGATGCTAGGGTCCTGAGGCTGCCCCAGTGGGATTGAGTCTATACCAGTCTGTCTCTAATTGTCACTCTGTCTGCTCTGTCATCAGTCTGTACTCACCCCACCTAAGGAGTCTCTGACCTGTCCTGTTTTGTTTTCCTTTCTCTCCAGGTGTGAATCAACTTCTTGGGCCTTGATTCTGAGTCAGAAGAGACTTTACAAAAAGTGAAGAGCTAGAATTTGGGAGAAAATAAAAGGCTTTTTTTTTTTTTTTTCCTGCCCAGTGTGGCCTAAAGTGTTTATTGGGGATTGGAATTGAGGTAGGAATTTTAGAGTAAACAGGCATGGGAGGTTTGGAGGGACTTTTCCCTGTTGACTCCTGAGTTTGGGATACAGGGTCGCATAGAACATATACACAACTCTTTCCAGGTTGTGACTTGGCTTTGGAAAACACCTGATTTTGATCCTAGCTCTGCCATTTTATGCCTTTCTTCCATGAAATAAAATTGATAATTACAGCTGTTTTTTGGAGGGTCAGATAGTGGAAATGCCATCACATAAACGCACTGCGACTTTGAGTAAGTCATGCAATCCTGCAGTGCCTTAGTTTCCTTAAGAAATTCGACCAATAGAATTTACCCAATATTCATATGCAAAGATTCCTCACCCTTGGGGACCCATGTCCAGGCTGGATGCTTACTAACCTCTGGACGGTCCACTTTCCCGCCTTTTCCGCTCCCAGCAGCGGCTTTCCCTTACCCCTCCCAGCTTCTACGCTGCACGCAGGCGCAAATCACGGCCTCTTTCCTTCCACCCGCGCCCCTCAAAGCTTCCCCTAGCAACAGGCACAGGCACAGAGCTAAGGCGGGGCAAACGCATGCGCCTCAGCTTTCTCCATCACCAGTCGTCGGACCGCGCGCTGGGCTCCTCCCCCTGCAAGTCTACCCCTGCTACCCTCCTCCTCCCACCCAGGGTCCGCGTGGCGGGGCGCGCGCGCATTCTGGCTGGGTGGCTGCCTGGCTCCCGGGCACCGGCCTTAAGGAAAGAGGGGCGGGGCTGCTTCTTTGGGACCCCGCCCTCCCTGGCCCTGCGTCCCTACCGCGCCTGCGCTCTCCCGCCCGGTCTCCATCTTGGAATTGGGAGGAAGAGGGAGAGGGAGACCGGGACGAGACCGGGGCTGTGGTGCCGAGAGAGGCTTGAGACGGAGAAGAGGAGAGGGAGAGAGGGCGCGGGGACCGTCATCAGCGCCTTAGCTACAGTCTTTCAGTAGTCCTCCGGAGAGAGGAGGGGGGAGGGAGGAGTCCAGGGCGGGAGTGGGGGCTGTCACTCTCGGACCCCGGCGTGAGTGGGGCCGTGCTGCCGGACGTCCTAGGGGTGGGCCCCCTGTAGGTGGCCGAAGACCTGGGGCTCAGGCCCTTGGGTCCCAAATTTCCGGGCTTGGTCCCTTGCTTCTCAGATACCCAGGTATCAGTTCTCATATTTCAGGTAGCTTGAACTCGAGTCCCAACCTCTTTAAACCTGGGTCTCTGTTTTATAGAATTTCAAGTATCTTGGGGGTTCAGGCCCCCGCGTGCACCACTATTCGGGGTTCATTCCCCAGGTGTTCAAATATCGGATTCATTTTATCCCCGTGCAAATATTCGGGGTTCATACCCCACAATCAAATCCGGGATTCAGCAACTGTCGCCCTCGAGTTGGGGGAGGACTGGACCGCGAGGTCAGATCAGGTTGTCACCCCCTCCCCTCCAGGGGAGGCTTCCCGGGTCCGCCCCTCAGGAAGGGCGAAAGCCGAGGAAGAGGTGGCAAGGGGAGAGGTCTCCTTGCCCCTCTCCCTGCTTGGCAGAGCCGCTGGAGGACTCCAGGCGGAAGCGGAGGCGCTGGGGCACCATAGTGACCCCTACCAGGTGAGACATGGGGTGCAGGGGCGCGGGTCCCTGTGTCTAGCACTGAAAAGAAAGGGTGATCCTTTCTGAGAAGCTGGGCCTGGATGGGCTCTCAGGATGGGGAAGCCTGGCTGGTCAGTGGTCAGCTTCTGCCTAGCCTTGCCTTCTGTTGCCACCCTCTGCCACTTCCTCTTTCCTTCATTGTGCCTGGTTGATGGGGAACCCAGGTGGGTGACAGGGTCTTTGATGTCAGCAGGGGTCACGCCCTAGGGTGATTGAGCTAATCAGATGGGTTTGCAGCCTTCGTGTCCCCTCACCCTGTTCACTTTGCCTCTCCCAGCCACCTCTTTTCCTCCATGATTCCCTTTTTCCTGCTCTGGGGTGTTGATTCCTATGCCTCTGAATCCCGTGGTGGGTCTGCTTATCTGCTTTTCAGGCTTGGTCTGGTTGGGTTTCTCGTCCTTGCAAAGAAGTGTGGGTGGGAGGGGGCGCTTGGCAATACTCCCCCAGCTACAGTTACCTTCTTTTTTACCTCTTATTATGATGGTATAATCTCATATATTTGTCAGTGGATTTATCTTTACAAAGTATTTTTGCATCCATTCTCATGTGACACCATCACCATTCACCTTTATTGCTGTCTTCCCGTTTTACAGTTAAGAACATTGAGGCCCAGAGAGGTTGCCCAAGGTCACATAGTGTCAGAATGGGGATTTTTACCCAAGAACTCCATCAAGTCTTGCTCCCCTGATCTATACCTGTTTCTTGCTATCTCTTTTCTTCTGACCTGGGCTTGGCCAGGGATCCATAGGAGAATGAATTGAGGTGAGATTTAAAAATGGGAATGAAATGAGCTTCCTTTCCAGGAGGGCTATACTCAGGAGCTTTGCCTGATTGGAGGCTCTGACTCCTGCCTCTGCCTTATGGATTTTTGTATCTACTGTGACCTTCATCTTTACCCTGATCCCAGTCTTTGGCTTGGATTTCTAAGAAGGCTCTCTGTTCTAATAAATGAGGGCCATAGTGGCTTCTCTTAACAGTTAAAGCCAAATCCCCCAAAGGATTAAAGCCTTGTGGCAACCCTGGGGGCAGAGAAGGAAAAATCCATATGTTGAGTGTCTGCATAGTGTTCCTAAGTATAAGATCTCATTAAAATCTCACAACATTCCCATGCTGTAATCCATTTAATGTAAGAGAAGACCAAGAAGTATTAGGAACTTATTCAAAGCCCTGTTGCTGTACATTGCAGATGGGATGTGCTAGTGGCACAGCTTAAACACAGGCAGATTTGGGGTTCCTTGTCTGCAGGGCAGAGATAACGTTATTTGTCTTAAAGGGTGGTTGTGATTTAGCACAGATCTTGATGATTGCTCAAATGTTTGTTATTGTGAGGAAGAGGACCTGTGTGATGTTTTGCCAATGGCTGGCACCCCTTTCGTGTGGCCTGGGGTTTTGGATTGGCAGTCTTGGGCTCAGTGCTGGTAAAGAGGTCAGGAAGATTCCCTTGGCAAGTTGTGAGCACCTGCCTTTGCGTGTGGGTGTGCGGTGGGGTGAGAGATGCTTGGCACCATTGCTGGCAGAAGGAAGAAGGGGGCCTGCTTTGAGCAGCCTGGAAGCTGCTGAGGGCTGGGCTGAGGGCAATCAATCAATCTCCCAGGCTATTCTGAGCCCTCAGCACCCTGGGGGCCCACTGGAGAGTCAGGCTCCCTCCTTGCCCTCCAGCTTCCAGTTGGGCTGAGGAGACAAAATTAACAACACAACAGGAAACAATGCATGACAGAATATAATTACTTGCTAAAATTGTTGGGTGCTTTTAAGTAACTAAAATTCTGCCCTGGGAGTCCAGCTCTGCTGAAAGCTTCTTTGTGCCTAAATCCTGATAAGTGTTTAGCTAGGAACTTCCCCTAGAAGCCCCTCTAAGGTCCTGGTTCGAATGCCCTCTAGGAACTCTCTTTGGGTGTTTGAGTACTCTGGGAACTTTCCCCAAAAGCTGGTCAGTGGAGGCTTCCTACAGGAGGGTGGCTGAGCTTGGAGTGGCAAGCTGAGAAAATATTGAGCATGCAGGCCTGATAAGAGGAGAAGGTCCTATTCTCTGACCTTGGAGAATTCTTTTTTCCTCTGTGTCTCGGTGACTTCACCTGGGAAATGGTGATCCTGATCCTGCCCTGCTGGTTTCATAGGGCTGTTCTGAAAGCCTGGTGGGGTGGTGGTAGACCAACTTTGGGCAAGTCCCTTAACCTTTCTGAGCCTGTTTCCTAATCTGTAAAAAAGGGGTAATGATAATACTTCCCTCATAAGGCTATGGCGAGGATTGAATGAGATGATGTGTGTGAGGCGTTTACTATCCATGCCCAGTAAATGTTGTTTGTACCCAGTAAATGCCTGTACTTGGGTGTGTTGCTCAAGCAGTTGGACTGGATAAGGGGGGCAATCCAGATCCCAGAGAGGCCCTCAAAGCCAGATATCATTTATATTACTGTCTTTCCTGTTCTAGAACTCCTCCTTGCTGCAGTGTCTTCTACCCTTTTTTAAGAGTGAGTCTCTTGGCCCCCATGAGCCAGTCCCCACTTACAACAATGGCCGGATTTCCACCATCTCCGGCTTGGCTGTTTCCTGTTCTTTTTCAGGGTGTGAGAGGTTGAGGGAGGAGGGGGCCGCAACATCAAGGGGAAGAGGAAGGTACATGGAAATCAGTGGGGTTTGGGACTTGGGACAGGACATGTGGGGATCTGGCAGGGAGGCCTGTTTCTCTTTGAGGGAAAATAACAGGTATAGGGAAATGGAAACTTGTTGAGAGTGGTGAGAGGATGCTTAGCTTCCCAGAGTCTTCCTACCAGTTTTAGGGACTCCAGGGACCCGGCCCCCGTGATCTGGTTGCCAGGGCAACTTCATTTTTTTTGGAGCTTTGATGTTCTTCCTAATCTCCCCTTGCCCTTCCTCAGCAGTGCCTCCCCCTCATCAGTGAATGAGGGGAGGAGAAAGCAGGAACTTGAGGGGGCTCCTTCCTCTTCCGGAAGGCCCCGTCCTTGCTCTAAGATTCCCATCTCTATTCTCTAGGCCAGGCCCCACTCTCAGGGGCCCCAGGGGCCGCCATGCCAGCTGGGGGCCGGGCTGGGAGCCTGAAGGACCCAGATGTAGCTGAACTCTTCTTCAAGGATGACCCTGAAAAGCTCTTCTCTGACCTCCGGGAAATTGGCCATGGCAGCTTTGGAGCTGTGTACTTTGTGAGTGGGGTTTTGAGAGGGTAAAGCAGGGGAGAGGACTCTATTCTTAACTCTATAGACCTCTAGACGGCCTTCCTACGCCACTCTAACCTTCCCTGCCCTCTTCAACTCAGCCAGCAAGCCTTCTCTGCCTTGTGCTCAGTGGGGGTCTTCACTACCCTCTGGTCTGATTCTCTAGGCCCGGGATGTCCGGAATAGTGAGGTGGTGGCCATCAAGAAGATGTCCTATAGCGGAAAGCAGTCAAATGAGGTGAGTCAGGCTCACTAAGACCATCTTGGTTAGGAGGGAACCCCAGTTGCAAGGTGCATACTGGGTGACCTCCTTCTACTTTGGCCTCTTCCTAGAAATGGCAGGACATCATCAAGGAGGTGCGGTTCTTACAGAAGCTCCGGCATCCCAATACCATTCAGTACC